TCTTTCCCTGCTCGGTATCATTACCTACTTACCAGCCCAACAGGATTCAGCACAGCAGTCCTGTTTTCATGCTTCCTCTCCAGTGACTTTGCAGCAGCTTTCAGCTCAGCACTGACTGTGTCCAGTGTCTGTTTTCTTTTAAAATTAAAAAACCCCCATAAAGCTTCTGACTTTACCTTGTAGTGCTGGGGCAGCTGAGCGAACTATGCAAATAAATCAAAGTCCTTGCCGAGCACAGAGCAATGACCCAAACACTCAGGTCCTTTTGGGCCTCTCCGCTTCTCAGCACGCTTTGGAAAAGGTTGTGCTCCTCAATAAGAAAATAAGGGAAGGGGTGACATTAAGAGGACAGAGTAAACAGAACTTGGAGCCTTTCTTTACCTTTTGTAAAAGAGCAGAATTAATTTTAACGGAGAACAGAAAATATAATAATACCTTAGATACTGCAATATTTTACGCTACCTCTTACCCTAAAATACTAGTGCCTAAAACACATTTGTCTAAGCTACCTTGCTCATGTGCCTTGTGCACATAACCTGTATGGTAACACACTTTTGAGTCATTGGTTCACCCATGCCTTGGACTCAACCTGGCACTCGGCTTGATAAAGAGGTAGATATCACACCCATAATGCTCATATTGGAGTATGAGCCAGAAATTACAACTAGCAATGCTACTGCACTCAGCAAGGCCATGCTCTCGGGACAATACCACCAAATGGCTCCTGGCCACATTCGTGTCACTTTCCCCTCTGGATTACAGCTTTGACAAAGAAGGACGTTGTGATTAATATTTAACTCTCCAAACCTTTCAGGATTTTGGACTCAGTCATTTTCTGTGCAAGATTGCCAACCTTTGGTAACTATAGGGAAAAACCCCCAGGATATATACATAAGCTGTGCAGGTGTTTTCAGGTTTCACTGCTGTTTTGCATTCTGAGAGTATTCCCCTTTCTAAAAGTCCCTACATGGCACAAAGTGAGGACCCAGACACTTAGCGCTAGTGCAATTTTTATTTGTTTGTTTTTTAAATAAACCTGGTGAGATGGGACAGCTGGTAGAAACCCTGCAATCTATGCATGTGACTGACAATCCAGACTGGGCATAGCTGTATTTTAGCAGGAACCCTGGGGACTGCTGCCATTCTTTTAGGCATCCATATACCACTTTTAGTTTTTGAGGTGCAAAAATGGAAAATAGTTGCATTAGACATTGCTGCTGTTCTGAACTTGTGAAAAAAGTCTGTTCTGCCTTCACCCCACCATTTCCAGTCCTGATCCTGTGCCCATTGCTTTATTTAAGTTATGTTTCCCCAAACCCTTAAATACATGCTGTATTGCTGAATGTTCCCAGAGAACTGCAGCCAAATCCAACTGCCATCAGGGTATAAAACCACCTCTCCTAACCAAAGCAGCATAGCTGGAGACTGAAGACTCACAGAGACTTTTAACATGGAGTGGCAGTCCTGGCTGGGCTGAGGACAGCAAAGATGTACATTATTTGGAGCATGGTGGGGACACTTTACAGTCACTACAGAGTCCATTGGATAAAAGAAAGTTACCTCCAAATGCCTTCTGTCTGGCACATTCCCTGGACCCTAAATCCTGTTGACAGGAAAAAGTGTAAGTTCCTCTCATTCCTTAAAATTTGGATGATGATAATTAACAGAGCAAATGCCATATACCATATTTTCCAAATAATACCAATAGTAGCCAAATTATTTCTCTTTCTAAATATAAGGGATGTCAATAGTATCTCACAAGTGCCTCAAGTAACTGTTGGCATGTGATGACTTTGTAAAAGCAACCAATGTAATGACGGGGTTGTAGAGATACCAGAAGACACTACCCAACATCAGAGGAGGGAAGAAATGCATTCAGAAAGAGAAGCTCCAAACATATGACTATATTGGTCAGACTAGCCTGAATTTGCTGCAGGGAATAAAAACATGTATTAATATCACAGCCCTCTCTTCCCATGGAAATTTCTTCAGCAAATTGTTCATTAAAAATCAAATCAAATCAATCAAAAGCATTGAATTTTGAATCAATATGTAAATCAGTAGATCAACATCCAATGGAGCATAAGTAATGAAAGCGGATAGCACAGTAGCGCTTACAACCAAACTGTTTGGGGCATATGTACGCAACAAGCATAAGAAGAACATATACATCTTATGCTGGGATTTTTAAAGGAGCCTATGAGATTTGGGAGGTCAGTGGAAATGGGGTCCCTAACTATTTTAAGCTCTTGTGCAATTCCCAGGCTTACTCCTCTGGGCCAGATCTTCTGAAAATGGGCATTGAAATCATGTCATCCAACATACAAGCCAAAAGAGAACAAGCCGAAGAAATGGGTTCGGGCCAGTAAAATAGATAACTAGACACTCTAGTTGTCCTTGGCAGAAAGAAGTCATTATTTGCATGTGCCATTCATGCATGTGTTAGGGATACAACTGGAATGTATCAGTGTTGGATGTTTGGGATATGGTAGAATGAATTTCCAGGATTTCAACTAATCCTTTGCAATGGCATTGTGCCTTTTAGTGAAGGATCTTAAGAACATTACAGACATTAATGACAATGCCTCACAACACTCATGTGAGTGAGATTATATTAGTCCACTTTAAAAGTATAGCAATTGGCACAGGAGATAATGGAACACATTTTGCACCACTGCAGTCCATGGAAGCCTTTCCACTGACCTTAGTTGCTCTAAGTACTTGCTCGAGGTCTCACAAAAAGAGTAGGCAGGACTAAAAATCAGTCCAAGGCATTAAGCACAAAACTGTCCTTCCCTTCAAGAATTTTCTGCAGACAAAATTATAGGTCTGCAGAGAAACTAAATGCAGCCTATGCACAGAAAATGAAAAGTGAAATCCTGTCCAGACCATACTAGAAAATATGAGCTAGGACATTGGCATTTATGCTTCTCCAGTAATCACCAGACTTATCAATACACAGTAGAATGAAACTGGAGGCAGATGACAAGATGGAAGATGAAGACTATTGTGTTTCCATGGGGATGCCTTCAAGAAATGCTCCAGGACCACTAAACACATGATTTTGGTAGTGGTTAATGTCATCTCTAATTTTTCACGTGATACTGTTATGCAATACTGTTATGTGCAAGTAGGATATTCTCGCAGTACTCAGGGGCTAGGGTCAGACATTCAAAAAGCCTGAGCCTGAATTGTTTAAAACAGTTTATGTGTAATGCCTATCTCTAGCTAGGGTCTCTGGTTTCAATTCCCAATTCTATCATATATTTTCTGTGTGCCTTTGGGCACAAAATGCTCTGTTTCTTTATGACAGAGGTATTTCTCTCACCCATGTTTAGGTTGTGACCCCTTCAGCACAGGGTCTATGTCTCACTGGGCATGTCGACATGTGCGCTTTAATGTGCAGTAGCCTATTTTACTGCACATTAAAGTGTCATGTCAAAAACCATGCTAATATGCTAATATACAGTAAAAAGAAGCTATTACACATTAAGCATCACTAAAAAAGGGTGCGCTTTCGCTACTGCACATTAGAGCTGCTTAATGCGCATTTATTTAGTACCTCACATTAATACCATGCTCAAGAAAAAGCGGCAATGGTTCTCTGGTTCACAAAAGTGGTTAGAAAATTAAAAGCTCTTTGGAGGCAAAGAGGGAACGCCAGAATAAAAAAGAACTGATGGAAAGTTGAAGGGGACTATAATCACTCAAGATATTTGGTAGATAAGCATGTGATGGATGCTCTCACCTGGTTTTCAAGTAATCAAGGGAACAGCATTTGTACTTGATGAAGAAGGAACTTCTAAATGTGTATGTCTGTGTGACCAGGCTACCTGCAGGCTGGATCTCTCCTGATCTTTTTGAATGCTCTCCCTTGTCAGATCTCATGATGTTACAGGATTTCTCTGGGTGGAACAATGTGATTCTTCCACTCTATGACTGGGATGTGGGCTATAGTATCCAGGTGCTAACTGTGATAATCTCAGCAGGCCTGAGCTCTAATCAGTCACAGCAGTTCTGCTCTATGGGAGTAATGATCAGTGGTGCTTGGAGGTGGTATTTCTTTGGAACCAAAGTATTTCAGAGAAAGCAGATCTTAAAAGAAGCAGGTTATGTGCATTTCAACCCCATTCAGGTTCATAATATCCTGGAAGCATGAGAAAGACCCTAAACTTCTTCCAATATTCTTGTGGCACCTGTACATGTCTGTGCCAAAGCTCACTGACAGGTCATTGTGCCCCCTCAGTACACAGCTCATTTAACTGATAAGTGACCCTGTGATCTCCTGATTCCTGTGATTGCCAAGCAGCTGTGCAACTTCAGGATGTGTTTGCAAGGAAGGCGCTATCCTGGAACAGGCCATTATCTTGGGAAATTGCTTATCTAGAGTCACTGTATGGTTCTGCTGCTTGTTTCCCCAACAGCTTCCTATTAAAAATGGCCAAAATGTTCAGATAGAAATTTTAAAAAACTTGTGGAAACAATACAATAAGTTTCTCTCATCGACCTGGCCGCAAACACAATACTCACAAAATTATTATGTCTCAGTATGTTTACATTACATAGCAAATGTATGTGCACCACAGCCTGCATTACTAAAATGTAATACATACTGTTTGTGCGGGCCGGGAGCGGTCCGAGGCCCTCGGGGGCTTTCGCGGCGGGCTGTGGCCAGCAGCCCTGGCACGCGGGTCGGGGAATGCAGGCCGGCGGACTAGAATTAGGCACGGACGCGTAGCGGTTGATTAAAGATTATTTTACTTACACCGTAGATGGTCGCGGTGCAGGCAGGAAAACTTGCTTCAGTTGCAGTTACAGACAGGAAAGAAGAAGAGCGGACAAGAGTTCCTTCCACGCGAACTCTAGCCCAATCCGGTTGAAGGCTCTAAACACGCGAGCCCGTCATGTCAACCGAAGAAAACAACTCGGAGAAGAGCTCTGGATTCACTCACACGAAGTTTGCTAGGCTCCGTGGAACTTGCGCGCAGGGAAGGGGTTTGTCGAGGGATCGCGCTCAGCGACGGGGAGAGGCCAGAGGTTGATCAGACCCCTATAGCCTTCTCAAGGTACACGCTGGGTTCGATAGGCTCCGCAGCGCTTAGAGATCTTCACGAGACGTGAAGTTCTCCTCCTCCTGATGGTTGTGGAGTCCTCCAACTTGGGCGGAAACCGCTCAAGCCTCTTATACGGCTAGCAAGCCAATCACTAGCCGCCACGTGGGAATAATGTAGAACTGGCCAATAGTGGGACACAAATTTGCATGCGGGTGGTGGGAACTCCTTTGCACCGTGCACCTCTCTTTGCAACTGAGAAATGCACCCTGCAAAGAAAGCTCCGAGTGGCGGGAAATAATTTAGCAGTGCCGAAGCGTGCACACACAAAATCACACCCTTGGGTTGTGACACTGTTGTCCCCATTTTAAGTAAAAATAGACTACAAGCACTCAACGAACACTGCCTTACAGAACAATTTTGCGAATACTGTCTGTGGCCTGGCTGATGAGAGCTGTCTAACTATTATGACAGGGGCATCATTTATTGTGCCAAGAGGTCATGTTTTCTGTTAGATACCCTGGTTTTCCAGAGCAGACGCCTGGAACATAACAACTGTGCCATCATGGCCTGGATTAAAATTTTTATATAAAAAACTTAATCTGGAGAGCAAATATATTACTACATTTGTGGGTGGGTGGGTGGTGGTGGAGAAATTGATGAAACTAATTTTATAATTAGAAAAAAAGAAAAGCATATTGGAATCCTTTTGCAAACCCCAAATAAACCTATTTGCTGAAGCAGTCATTTTACAGGTGATTAGATTGCAATCAAACCCCATTTGTTTTATTTAAGCAATTATTTTCCTTTCACGACACTTGTAACTGAGTAACCAATGTGTAGGCACAAACTGTTATTGTCTTCTAACAAGAATTTGAAGCTTCTCGGAGGCCAGGGTAACACCTCCAGAGTATAAACTAAGAAAAGTTTACACGAGAAAGCATTTGGTAGAGTCTATCAGACTAATGTTTTGAGAAAATGAGGTTGTAACAGCTGCATTTTTTGGACTAAGTCAGCATTTCAACAAAGCAGATGGACAAACTCTGAAGTTAATGCCAAAGCTCTGATTAACTTAAGTAGAACATGGCTTCTGCCAAATATCTTGTATAGCAACTCAGAAGGAGTTTACTTTCTTTTTTTGATCCTTAGCATTGAGTGAGGTTTTGGAAAACTAGGGGTCAAAGGCATGTGAAATGCACTTCCACACGCTTCAAAAGAGGATGGAGCTAGACTGTTCTCAGTGGTGGCAGATGACAGAACAAGGAGCAATGGACTCAAGTTGCAGCAAAGGAAGTTTAGGTTAGATAGTAGGAAGTCTTTTCTTACTAGGAGGGAAGTAAAACACAGTAACAGGTTACTTAGAGAGGTGGTGCAATCTCCATCCTTGGAGGTTTTTAAGTCCTGGCTAAACATATCCTTGGCTGAGATGATCTAGTTGGGGCTGGTCCTGCTTTGAGCAAGGGGTTGGACTAGATGCCCTCCTGAGGTCCTTCCAACCCCAATTTTCTATGATTTGCATAACACAACCTAGACTCACTCCTTCCTTGTTGTGCAGTCAGATGAATGAAGTCACAGAGACTCATGGCCTGGAACAGGCCATTATCTTGGCCGATTATCTTGGGATATCATTATCTTATCAGCTCTCACTCATATGAGAGTCAAGAGTCCTATTGTTTTCCATGAATTTGATGCATGTGCTGGATGTTAAACACATCCTTAACATTTTGAATATATATTTGAATTATATTTACTAAGTTAATGCAATCGTAGGTGAGTAATAACATGGAACACAGATCCCATTAGGTTACATAAAGAAAAGTCATCCGATGTTCAAATGATATAAATTGGCAATGGACCATTCTTGCAAGGCTTTCCAAGCTGGCCTCCTTCCTCTGCTGATATAGAAGAGGCTAGGTCAAAAAAACTAATCTGAAAACGAGTTTGCTGGGTACTACTATTCATCCTCTTGATTGCACTGGTTGGATGGGGGAAATGATTGATGGTAGGGACTCAGGACGAGGATGATGATGAATTATGCAGGGAAATGTAACTGATCATTGAATTAGATTAAAAGTTTTATCTACCATTCATTTATGAGAATGCTAATGGAGATGATCACTCACTTTTTGGTACAATTATTTAAGGCAGTGTCTTGATTAGGTAGTCTGTAGAGATTTGTATTTGTTTGTATTTCTATGGAAGTAGAAAAGACATAAGATAAAAGAAGTCACACTGTTGGATTTATGATGCATAAATAACCAAGACTATCTGGAGTTTTTTTCATCTTTCCCTGTTTGAAAGGTATATTGATAAAGCTCAAATGCTGCTGTCAGGGATTGAAAGAAAAAGTTTCAAGACTTCACTCCTTTCTCTCTGTTAAATAGTAAAGCCAGCTAAATGAGGTGATAAGATATCTCAGCTTTATCAGCAGAAAGTTAAACTAACTTGCTTTTAAAGCCACATTGCAAAATCATATAGCTCTTGGCTCTTTATCTGTTATTTGCCTTTGAATTCAGAGCAGCTAGGTTTCATTCGTTTCTTTATACTGTCCCTTCTTTGTAATAATACAACCTATACCTGCACCTATACCTAGACTCGTAGTCCTTCCACTGCTCCAAAGCATGTGGACGTCAACCATTTGACCTAAAGGAAAAGCTGTCTTTGTGGTGACCTATAGACATTTGTTCATTCTAAACTGCAAGCAGTGGTATAGAGCAGAGGTTCCCAAACATTTTTTTGATTGTGTACCCCCTTCCAGATTTACCAGCTGCCAGTATACTCCTACCAGCATACGTCCGATATTTTAATGCTTTTAATGCCAATTATTATTATAATGAAAATTAAATCCACCATTACACAGTTTCTCCTGTGATAGAGGATTATGTGCATGTGCTCTTTTGCTCCATCTCTCCCTCTCATGTGCACATGCATTCATGCACCCCCGCCCCCCCAGCAAAATCAGTATCTGCGATGCGGAAATCTTCTACAGTGGAAGCTGCTCTGTATTCAGCCATTTGCAGCCAAAATCAGCTATATTACCTAAGTGCCTTAATATGCATCAAGAAAGCCTATCCTAAAGATCCCAATTTTAAAAATCAAGCCCTGAATACTCAATCGTAGCTCACCCCATTATGTATTTTTCTCCACAAAATCAACCTTCCAATGTAGCTTTTCCCTGGTTTTTTGGGAGGGGTGGACACACACCTGGACATAAACACACATCTCTTTAAACATGCTGAGGTGTATGCATCTGAATGAACAAAAAAGACCAAATATGCATCTTCTGTTTTAAGATCATTGTGTGAAATAGTTTCTACCCCTCCTTGTGTATCCTCAGTAAATTTATTTAACCCTTCAAAATATCACTGGGCTTGATGACTTGCATTTTAAACTTGGTGCCATAGACTGAATGATTCCCTCCCTTTCAGACATTCATTTATCGGGACCATCTCAGAGCCTGGCAGAAGAATTTGCTGAAGCTGCGAGGCAGCTTAAAAAAGAGATCCCTAACGTCAGATTTGGAAAAGTTGATGTCTCAGACCAGAAAGATCTGAAGAAAGAATTCAATATCCAAGAATTTCCAACTGTGAAATTTTTTGTGAATGGCGACAGGAAAAATCCCATCGATTGTAAAGGTAAAGTGTTTTTGGTACTAATAAAGGAGTCTGATATCTGTTATATGATGGGTGGTAAAGAACCATTGGATGTCTGAGTGGACAGAATAATAAAGAACATATGAGAGATTACATGGATTCTGTCTTTAACGTTATATGTATACCTGTATCTGCATATCAGTATTTCTACACATAGGAATTTAATGCAAAATAAATTGGATTTGAGCTCACCTCACTCTTTTCTGCCAAATGCTCCTCTCTGATTCATAATTTACATAGTGAACTAAATTCTCTGCTGATATAACTTTAAATCCAGTGAACAGCTATGCCTTCTACAATAAACTTGAGTACAGAGTTAGCCAGCAGAGAATTTGACTCAGATTACGCTTTTAATCTGAGTATTTAGTAATTAATCTGAGCCTGTGTAATACCCCTAAAAATCCACAACAAATTCCACACATTGTGTGAGTACATTTTATGGAGTAAAGATTATACATTATGGTCTGGAGAGAATTCTTTTATTGATTTTAAATTGTTAATCTGTTGGGTTGTATAGATACAATATATGAAAGAAGAAAAGGTGCAACTGGCACATTAGCCACTAGAGGGAGCTCTCATCTGGCCCAGAAATTCAATGGGATAATTTTAAAGTATATATTAATCTATTAAATAAAGACTACAGTGTTTGATCTGCATCCCTCTGCATTCAGAATAAGACCGAGCTGCACAATCCTAAAATTCCAGGCTTGAAGAGTTTTTGCTCCATTACCAATATGTGCAAGTAATAATCTTTGTCTAAAAAGATGTTCTCCTGAAGATGAGGTGAGTGGCCTGGGCAAGTGTGTGTTCTTGCAGTTGGAAAGAAACAGATTGGCCAAGTGCTTTTACAAATGGGAGCCTAAAAGTTCAGCTCCCAAGGCCAGAGGCACACAGTCTAATTTCAGAGCTTCTATACATCAGCCGCTGCCTGGGATGTCAGTGCTTCTCCTGTATTCTCATTGTATCCCTTCTTGTCCATCAGCTCTAGCATTTTTTACTGCTCTTCAATCTGCTCTACTTGCATAAACAACAGAGACTACACAAGCATCAACTGAGGGCAAAATCTGGCCTACTGAATTCTGGTTACAGATGTTAAGAACGCATCTAAAGTCTTCACTGCAGGGTAGGGCTGGTGGGAAAGCATCTTTTACACTTCTAAAATCATTTCCTCTGCATGTTATTGAGAGACGGTGAACACTGAGTGACCCAATAACATGCGTAGAGTCTCTATTTGGAGCAGATCTGCTGATTAGGTATGGTGTGTTAATGAGTAGCAACGAATTGATTATCTATTGTTAACTCTTGTGAAATATGCAGTGACACAAAGATATCTGATAAAAAAATTGGCAAATCATTCACAGCACACACAATGATTAAAAATGCATTCTGTTGATTGGTAAGCCATTCGCTCAGGATGAGCAGAATGCTTGAAGTCCAATACATGTTCTCCTTGAAGGGTTATAGCTTCTTACATCACTCAGACTAGCCAGCTGAAAAAGGGACTATGACTCTCCAGTGAGTTATTACATAAATACACTGGCAATGCTGTTTGCAGGCAAGGTTTAAACCCTGAAAGTCCCCTGAAATATTTGATGAAAGAGAATTTTTTGAACAGTCATCCTGATGGTGCAAGAGTGAGAGACAAACCCAGTGATTTCATTAGGACCATTTACATCAGTGCAATAGGATTTGTCTCAGAGACACAACATCAGTGATTCTCAACCACGGTGCCTTGAGATCCTTTCAAGGGTGCCCTGTAATGTTAGCACAGTTAGGTGTGCAAACATGAATCACACGGTAAACCCAAAGCTTTCAAGTAGGAATGTATCATGTTAAAAACATTATGACCTGTTGAGGTCTTTCTGAGTTCTTTGCAACTGAAAAACTGCCATATTATTTTCCTGTAGTCAAAAACCAATTGAAAAGTAAGAGCTGGCAGTTTTGCAAGGGTTCCTCCAGTCTAAAAAGGTTGAGAACCATTGCACTATGTGCAAAACCATATAGGGCAAACCAAGGCAAAGATTAACCTGATGCAAAATGTGCTGAGGTTTGCATTGCTTACCATATAGATGGAACGTAAGAGCTTGAACCTTCAGAGTTTGAACATTGTGTGACCACTAGATATTGCTCAGCTGCTTTGCATTTGAGGCCTCTCCAGGGCACATCAAAATCTGTCATGCCTTTAAAACAATAGCATTTTGAATCAGTCGCTGCAAAAATGTCTTCATGGTATTAAACTGAATTGAACAGTCCTGAATTTTGATCTTGCTACACTGATAAAATGCAGAGTTTCAGGCTGTGAATCTTTGATAAGCTGCTTGTAATGTACAGCAAGATCACAACACAGCACGGTGTGCAGCTCACTACTAGCCTGGTGCTGCCTTTTCATGTTCAGTCCTGATTAACCCCTTACTAGACCCCTCTGCATAAATATGTGCTGTCTTCTTAGAAAAATATTACATTCGGAAAGTCAAAATAATTTTCCCCTGCTTTAGTCCACTTTGAGCTTGCATTGCTTGCATTTTCAAGCCTTCTTCTAAAAATATAAAGGTTAGAAACCTTTTTCAAAAGTAAGCTGTAGTTTCTGCATTATCACTTGCTTCCACGATGTAAAGGTTTAAGAAAAACTCCCAGCTATCATGAGACTTCCAATAAAATCACAAGCTCACAACACTGAATTGGATACCTCAGAAAATGGAAACTTGCAGAACTAAGGGATATTCTTGATGATTTAGGCTGTAAGTCTCATGTGCAAACTGCAGAGACTTTTTAATGTGTCTCGGCACCTCTCAGATCTCTTCAGCAGTAGAGGGGGGAACAAACCTGACACCTAATTTAACTGAATAGACAGTTCAATAATCTGTGGAATTGGTTTGAAATCATTTTGGATTAAACCACAGGTTGATATTTCACTATAGCCTGTGATGCCTAAGATTCTCATGTTTATTGCACAGAGCTCTGCAGAACACATTTGCCTACTTGGTTGAGAGCCCTTGCTTCAAAACATCCACAAAAATCTGTTATTAGAGCATTAACTGACAATGTGCCCAACTCTCATTTGTAGAAAGCTCAGAAAGCAAGTGAGGACCCACACACTACAGATCTTCAAGGGTCAGCAACATTTCATGTCTGCACCAGTGACTTGGATCTAGATCTGAATTTTGATGACAGGAGTCATGACTCCTTTGATGACAGGAGTCCCACCTTGAGTTATCTGCCACTCTGAAACCTTGGGCTGTCCGCTGTCCAAACCAGCTTAATTTCACTCAGAACCCTGTTGTACTGGCACTTCTTGTCATCTTTACTGTTTTGAAAAGGGACACTTTATTTGTAATTCTCCCTAACGGTCACTTTAATTCTTTCCTCATTCCAAAGGAGTCAGAGAGGCCTCAGCTTTTATCACATGGGTGAAAAGAAGACTAGGACCCAGCACTGTGCACATCAACAGCACCGATCAGACTGAAGCAATTATAGAGGCGGAGGAGTTGGCAGTGATTGGCTTTTTTAAGGTAATTCAGTGGGAAAGTCAAAAGCTGATTGGACCAAGGGGCATTGTCTCCAAGGACCAATTTTACAATGGGCCTAAAGTCAACCTCAGAAACTGGATCTGCAGTTTTCTAGTTTATTTTGCATGTACTGTTTACACTCAGTCTGTAAGGTCCCTTCCAGCCCCTAACAACTATGAAACTATGTGCAACTACTTGGAGTTATGCAGGAAGTGTAGATGCATGAATGTACATGGACCCCAACTGCTTCAGCCGGAGCTCCTAATGGCACTGAAGCAGTTCTTGTACAGCCCAAGCTAGAGCAAAATTTGTTATGTCCTTTGAGAGCACACACCTTACTGCACAACCTGGCAGTTGCTGACTTGTGGAAAGGGAAGTGCAGGAGTCCTACTTCTCCTCAGCCCATCCCTCTTCTTTTCTGTCAATGCAGCGTATGTCATTGCTGGTGCTATCTACACAACAGATCTGGTGCTAACTATTTAAGAAATCCTTTTCTAAAGTTCTGTATTCTTGCGTTTATGAAACCGTAGCATGAACAATTAGTGGCTCAGGTTTTGAGGTGCTACTGAAAAGTTGGTGTGCATTTCAGAAAGTCTGTAACCATAATCGATTGCATTGGGATACATTTTTGGTTTTCCTACTCTTGGTTTAAACAATAGCTCCATGACTTTGGAATCTGATTACTGTGAAATTTGCACTAGCTACAGATTTAGCTTGTACCGTATGAGAAAACTGCTACTGTTATTTAAGTTGCCCGGGAGACAGAACAGCTCTCCCCCATCACCTGAAGCCTAGGTCTGACACCAATGTCACCTGCCAGCCTGAGGTTGGCACCTAAGGGAACCTAGAGACCTCCCTGGCTGTTGTATGCTAACAGAGCAGGGCAGGCCTGAACTGTTCCTCTCAGGAGCAAAATTGCTCCTAATGGGTGCACACATAGGCATGCACTCAAAGAAAGTTTACTGCGCAGTAAGCTTTCTGATCATTAATTTTACATGTAGATGTGCCCACTGTGTAGGGACAAATCCTGCAATCTTCACTCAGGTGAACTCCCTGTGGTTGCTAGGACTGATTGAGAACTGCAGGTTTTGGTACTAATATATTTAAGTAGTAGGCAGCATTGCAAAGTAAATGTTTAGTGTGGGATAGTGTGAGTTGCTGTTGCACATTGTACAATAGTACAGAATCTCCTTCCTGTGTAATGGTAAAGCCCAATCACATTGCCACAGAGCCAATATTCCTATTTTTTCTAAGCAGCTCCTTATTCTTCAGCGTCTGTCTTGAATTCCCCTATCACTGGGCCATCTGAGCACATTTTCGATCTTATGATGTCTAAAATGTTATTACTATAATGTGCTATAACCCAGAGCCTAACTTTTATCAATGGGGCCATTTGCTGTCCAATAACATGTTGCTGCCACAGTGGCAGAGGCAGGGTACACATTAAAGGTAATGGGCCAGAATGTGAAAATGATCACCCTGAATAGAATTTTGTTCCAAGTAGCCCTCTTGAAATCATTTGTGAAGGAAGGCACTGCTTGGTGCAGCAAAAGGCTCATAATCTGGCCCAGTTTATTAGTGTAACTGGAGTGTCTTGAACTGAGCTGATAGCAGTTAGTGCCTGCAGACTTGTTAGACTGGGATTTGTGAATGCATTTGGAGACTGAAATGACTATAGATGATCATCAGCATGAGTTAGGACATGTCAGAAATATAGCAGGTGGAAGCCAATAAAACACTGTCTAAATAAATAAAGAGCTGGATTTGGCCTTCTATTAGTCACAGATTGCTTACTGAATGTGACTGCCAGAATGTGTCAGGAGGTCTCAGCATATAAATTACTATTCATTTAGCATAAAATACTGCTCTGATTAAATCAAAGTCTCAAGAGCTGTTGCCTTTCATTATGGTTATTTACTGTTAATTTGGGGTCGACAGCATGCTGAGTATTTGAGAGACTTAAGAGAAGACAAGGCCCCTGCCTTGAAGAACTTCCAATTAAAGTATCACACAGGCCAGTGATTCTCGGCCAGGGTACCGTGTCACCCTGGGGTGCCTTGAGATCCTTTCAAGGATGCTTCAGGGTGCCATGCAATGTTAGCACTGTTAGGTATACAAACAAGATTCACAAAATACACCCAGCGATTTTGAATATGAATCCATAGTGTTAAAAGCACTCTGACCTGCTGTGGTCTTTTGCAACAGAAGAATTGCTCTATTAGGCAGTAGGCAGGGGAGGGGGCATTTTCTGAGGGGAGCCTTGAGTCTGCAAAAGATGAGACCCACTAACATAGGCGAAACAATTCAGAAACATCATGGGGTGTAACCTCCCTCAAACAGAGATCCTTCCTCTCTCATCCACTGCAAAGAAGGGATGCTTTGTATCATTAGTCAGTAGGGGTGTGCGAAGCAGACCCTATTCAATTTGGATTCGGCCCGAATCAGGGACAGTGATTCGATTAGTTGATTCGGATCACTGTCCCTGATTCGATTTGGCTGAATCCAAATCTGAAGATTCGATGCTGATTCGGAGAATCAGCGATTTGGACACAGACACAGCTTTAAAAGTTTTTTCTACATACCTTGAGGTAGCAGGTGTGGCTCATGATAGCTGTGATGCTGGGGAGCATGAAGCGTCCCACAGGAGTGCGGGCGCCCTCCATGTGCTTGGCAGTGAACCTGGAAGTGGATCAGAAGTACTTCTGATCCACTTCTGGGTCTGCAGGGGAGCGTGCTGGGCCCCCCCCTCTGCACCCCCAGACTCAGAAATCAGCTACAAGGAGACCCTGGGTTCCCCCCCCCCGACCCAGGAGGCACCAGTTGCTAAGCCAGGGGATTCAGGGGGCCCCCCCAGCGCACTCTCCAGTGGACCTGGAACTAGACTAGAAGTACTTCTGGTCCACTTCTGCGTCTGCTGCCAAGTGCGCTGGGGACCCCTCTGCTCTCCTGTGGGACACACTATGTTTCCCTGCATCACAGCGATAACAAGCCCCTACTATAGAAAAAATATCTGAAGCTGTTTCTATGTCCAAATCTCTGAATCTTTCCGAATCTCTCTGAATTGATTCGGAGGGCTCTGATTCGATTCAGAGAGATTAAAGGGTCTTCTGATTTAATATGGATACAGAGATTTGGCCACCATATCGGGCTGAATTTCTGCCATATCGAATCAGGGACTGAAGCTTCACATAGCCCTATTAGTCAGTCCCTATGGTGGCCTCTTCCCCACTAGGAGAGGCCTTTGCAAGGTCAAGATCTGCCAGGTAGGGGCAGAAGAGTAGGAGGGCCTATGTTGACAGTGGGACAGGATGGAGATGGACACCAGGGAGTGCTACCTTGTCCCTGTATCTTTCCCAATGTGTGGAAAAGGTAACACAGCTCGTTGTTGCTTCGCACTCCCTGCAGATCTCTTCTATTCTGGAGATCTACCCCTCTGAGAGGTGAAAGCTGCCATAGCCATCTTTGGGTCTTTATTCTCTCTCCTGCACCTCACGGCCCAGGATGGGTCCTCACTCCTGCCTATGTAAGTGCAAAGAGGGATGTTTATAAACCACTGCTTTTGTGACCAGGAACTTCATGGAGGAGCAGTGGAAATTTTCTATGAGACTGCAAGAGATGTGCCAGAGCTGCCTTTTGGAGTGACGGCCACTGAAGAGGTGTTTGCTAGCTATGGCATCCGAAAGGACACTGCTGTTGTATTCAGAAAGGTAGGAGTCACACATAATGGGCTGGGATACAACAGGTTGTGATAAGAGCCCATGGATGAGCGGGAGGCAATGAGGTAGCATATAAAGTAGAAGAATTCTCCGACAGGAATTTTTATAGTTAAGAGACTGTTGGTGTTACCTTCCTGTAAATACAGTCTGAAGCAAACAGCACCCTGTGGACAACTGAAGTCTCAGGCTGACATCACAAAACCTGGGTGGCTTTCATTCAGGCTTCCTAATCTGTTATTTAGGTACCTAAATCAACTGTGACCTGCTTTCCTGATTCACTGAGTACTGATGACATCTGCTGAATTCCAGTTTTGCAGATGCTTATCACTCCTGTATCACATCACTTTTGTCTAGAGGTCTTTTTTTTTCTCCTCAAATGCTGTTGAGAAGGGCTCAGCAACAAAGCTATATAGCAATAGCAGCCAAACACAGCAACCAGGCCAAGGACACTCAGAGTAAAGGCTCACGTGACATTTCTTTGTGGCTAAGTACTGAAACACTCTTACATGAAAATTTATAACATTTAGACAGTGTATTAAGAGTATTGACATAAAAGAGCAAATTGAATCTGTCAGTTTTGTCTTGAAAAGTAGCAGCAACCGTCTTCACTACTCTAGCTGTGACATTATTTTAAAAGAGTTATGAAATGTTACCTACTGTTGATAATAAAAAGCAAATTCTAGAACAATAAATTGCTTAAATGAAAAGAGTGTTTTTGCTACCAGTCATTGATAATGTTTTTAAAGCTGTCCCCTTTACTTTTAACCCTTCAAGGGAAAACCGGTACATAATGAAGTGTTTGAAGACAGCAAGCAGAACAAAGTGGAACTTACCAGATTAATCAAAACCTTTACCATGGATTTGGTCATAGAGTATAATCTTGAGGTATGTGTACTTTACTGAATCAAAAAATGTGGTGGAAGAAAGCAAGCCCTGGCAGTGACCTACAGAAGGAGATTCCTTGAAAAATCATCTCTTTCATATACTGTTCTAGCCTACTAGACTTCCAGAGCCAGTAGATAGCTAAGGCATGTATATCTTTGGTCAAGAAAGTTTTCCTGAGTTATGAAAATATGTGAAAGAGTGAGAAATAGTGTAAAAAACCGTAATACTTATGGTTAACTGGATTTCCATGTACAGTACTTCCCATTCTTTCACACAGAGTGACTTTCAGGGGTAGGAGCAAATATATATTTCAGCTGCTTTGGACTGCTGTTCAGGAGCACACAGCAGCTGATCTAACTGTTCCATCTTCATGATCCTGCAATGATACAAAATAAAAGCTAAATCTTCCTGAACTTTGACCCTGAATGAAAGTGGGTTAAAGTTGAAGTAGTTTTGCTACACTTGGATTGTTACAGGATTGTGCAGATGTACCAGCTCCATTGGAACAGGTCATATCAGTATGCTTTGATACAGATTTAATTGTTATGCTTTTCTATGCACTGTGTTGAATTAGGAAAATGGCAAAGAAAGAACAACTGTAAAAATCTTTGAGAGGGGTTTGTGTGCGTGTGTGCACGAGAGACTTCGCTCTCTTTCCTTGCCTGGAAGCACTGCTCACGCCAGCAAATAAACAGAGGGACTCATGCAATAAACAGAGCTGTAATGGATACACGACCACCTACACCAGAGCATCAAAAATTCACATATATGTTGGCAATCCCTCACTGCTGAGGATGATTGTCTTCTATGATTGCTTTATCTGTGGGTCTGAAGATGGCTGATGATGAGGCTGATCTGGGATCAACAGCTTCTGCTGCAACTCAGGGACGTGTTTCCATGCAGAGTAGGTGGCTCTGGATTCTTGATTCAGATCGAAACACACTGTTCCTGCCACTCCTGTTTATAGGGCTATAACCTGACAGTACAACATTTTCCTTTGGTTTTGTCAGCACAATAAATACATCCCACAATGCTGTCCTATTGACGCCTTTCCTGATGAACTCAGACTATGAACCTCCATCATGAGGCGTCCTATGAATTGCTAAAGCACATAGGGCAACCTTATCTGAAATGACCTCCTAACTCAACATGAATGGGTGACCAATCCCTTCTTCATTCCCACTGACAATCACCACCAACCACACAACCACGTCTCCTAGGACTAGGGAGTCATTGCACTACCAGTTTGATAAACAGTTGGAGGCAGGATCAGATATTTATAAGTCAAAACCTATTTTAGATTTCAGGCTAAGGAGAACTATTACTGCTGCCCACCCTTTGACTGAACTTAAATACGTTAGCCCTACCAGCCTGTGTAGATAATAGGGCTGTGCAAAGCTTTGGTCCCTGATTTAATTTGGCAGAGATTTGGCCTGATTCAATGGCTGAATCTCCAAATCCGAATTGAATCAGAGGACATTTTAATCTCTCTGAATCGATTCGGAGAGATTCAGAAAGATTTGGAGATTCAGACGTAGACACAGCTTTAAATGATTTTTCTACATACGTCTAGGTTGGAGGGGCTTATGATCGCTGTGATGCCGGGGCACATGGAGTGTCCCACAGGAGTGTGGGGGACTCCCCAGTGCACTTGGCAGCAGACCCGGAAGTGGACCAGAAGCACTTCCAGTCCACTTCAGGTCTGCTGGGAAGCGCGCTGGGGGCCCCCCTTGTCCCCTAACTCTGCTACTGGTGCCTCCTGGGTTTGGGGGGGCACCTGGGGTCCCCCTGTGGCTCCCTCCACACTCCTGTGGGATGCTCCGTGCGCCCCAGCATCGCAGCATTTACAAGCTGGTACCTCGAGCTATGTAGAAGAAACTTTTAAAGCTGTGTCTGTGTCTGAATTGCTGATTCTCTGAGTCAGCATTGAATCTTCAGATTTGGATTCGGCCGAATCAAATCAGGGACAGTGATCTGAATCAATTAATTGAATCACTGTCCCTGATTCGGGTCAAATCATTAATTTGCCAGCATTAATTCTCTGCCCCGTGTTATGCAGGTAGTCAGACTGGAAGATCGTAATGGTTCCTTCTGGCCTTGAAATCAATGAATAATGATGAGATTTTTCCTTGAACAGGAAAAACACTTAGCAGCTGCTGATCTTGTCTCCCTTGCAGGCAATGAAAAGAAACCAAGGGTGATGAAAATGACTGAGAACTGTCGAAGGCATGCAAAGCAAAATATGCAAAACCAGAACTATGTGGCATGGCTACTGTTAATGTCTGATTCATTTTTCTGCTTACCAGGAACAGAACAGATGCTTAAGCCTTTTGTTTTCCAGACTTCTGTGAAGATTTTTGATGTCCCTGTTGAAAATCACATCCTGCTGTTCACCCCGAAGAACTCGGAGACATTCAACAAGACTTATGAAAATTATGAGTCTGCTGCTGTGGAATTTCGAGGAAAGGTGTGTTATCATAGAGCCCAATTCTGCAAATGCCAGTTCTCAGATCAATGTAAAAATGTTTGATGTTGTTACTGGTAGGAAAATATTGCTATGGGTCTGTCTGGTATCCTCCCAAACCACTTTATATAGTCCCAAGGACTATCAGGTGGAATCCTCAACCACAATAGTTTGGGAAAATGGAATTGGGAATAAATCCCAGTGAAGAGTGATGCTTTGAAGCAGTGGTGCTCACTTTTGGTCCTGTAGGCCAGATGTGTGGCACAGGAATGGTCTGTGAGCTGGATCAGGCCCTGTGGGACAAGACCAAGCCCCATGTGACCTCTACCTGGATCTGCATACCTGTATTAAGCCCTGTATCACCCCCCTCCGTGTCAGGATCAGGGCCTGGAGCCTTGTGCTGCCCCTGCCCAGGCCCGTGTGCCAGGATTGGATCTTGGGAGCCTGCACCTCCCCCACCTGACCCAACATGCTGGGATCTGGCCTCCCATGCCAGGATTGGGCCCGATCGCCCTGTGACACAAAGATCAGGCACTGCACCACCCTGCACACCCAATTTAATGCACAGGACCACATTATCCACCTGGTGGCCCCCCCCGGGTCCGAAAATTTGACATCAGGGGGGCAGTGCCCATGGGGAGCCCTGCAGGCTGGATGACAAGATGACAGTGGCTGGATCTGGCCAGCAGGCTGGGGGTTGAGCACCCTTGCTTTAAAGCATAAACACCTGCAGCATTCCAAGTGAACCTATCTCTGACCGTTGCTATTAAGCCTAATCTAATTTTATATCTGCGTGCATGTGCATGTGTGCACATGCATGTGTGTATAATGTGATTTGCTAAGAGCGACTTCTTGTCAAGAAAAATGTAGTAAAGCTCACTTGTCTCTGTTACCACCTGAAAGCACCATCGGGGAATTTCCATTCTGGAAATGTGGCTCTGACTCAGAGGGTTTTGCAAACAGTCTGCACGACAGTGTTACTGACACCAAAGAGGGTTTGCACACTAGGGCTGTGTGAAGCTTCGGTCCCTGATTCTATTCGGCAGCAATTCGGCCCAATTCGCTGGCTGGATCTTCGAATTTGAATTGAATGAGAGGACCCTTTAATCTCTCTGAATCGATTTGGAGAGATTCAGACAGATTTGGTGATTCAGACATAGACACAGCTTTAAATGATTTTCCTACATACCTCTAGGTAGCAGGGGCTCTGAACGCTGTGGTGCTGGGGCAGACGCAGTGTCCCACAGAAGCACAGGGTACTCCCCCAGCACGCCCGGCAGCCGACCTGGAAGTGGATCAGAAGCCAGGAGGGCACGGGGGGCGTGGGGGAGGCAGCATGATCCCTGGCAGACCCAGAAGTGGGCCAGAACTACTTCTGGTCCACTTCCGGGTTTGCTGCTGAGCACGCTGGAGAGCCGTCCGCACTGCTGTGGGATGCTCATCTGCCCCAGCACTGCAGCAATCATGAGTCGTGCCTGCTACCTCAAGGTACGTAGAAAAAAATATTTAAAGTTGAGCCTGTGTCCAAATTGCTGATGCACCGAATCAGGATTGGATCTTCAGATTCGGCCGAATCAAATTAGGACAGTGATCTGAATCAACGGATCGAATTACCATCCCTGATTTGAGCCAAATCTGAATTTGAATCGAATAGGGCTCATTTTGCACAGCCCTATTGCACACACATTTTCTAGCTATCTTCACCATCTGTTATATGTGGTTGCTGCTACTGCTCCACAGACACCAAGTGCTACAGAAGTAGAGTTCATTTGGTGGTAAAAACCACCTGCAGCCAATTCTACTATTGATAAAGACATCTGGATTATGAATATTTTAGCTGTTTTGTACTATTAAGTTATGTACTCTAGGGCTAGGGAAAGCAGTAAGTATTCAGCAGGGCTAGTAAATCTAGTTACTGTACATTGGCATGGAAGGAAGCAATATAAAGCCAAACATTACCAGAGCTTTAGCAGCACAATGTGAAATGGATGCAGCCAAAGGCCAAACTTGCTTGGTTTAGGATTTTGTTAACACCTCTGAACTCAGAGCCAGGGCATGGAAAGGTTCACGAAGTGCTGGTTTGTTCCAGCTGCAGATAAACTTGGATTCTGAGGCTCACCAGACCTGGGAAGTTTGTCTCTGGGTTCCAAGCTTCAAGGCTGGCCTGTAACTTTATCCTGCCTAAACCAGGGTCTGGAGGCTGAACTCCTTTAACCCTTGAAAACTCCAAACCCTTCAGATTCAGTACAAATCTCATGCTTGGCTGGAGATTTGGCTGTTTGCTTTGTTTTTCAGATCATGTTCATCTTGGTGGATACTAATGAAACCAGAAACGGGCGTGTTTTTGAGTATTTTCGCATCACTGAGGTAGATGTCCCCGCCGTGCGGATCTTAAACCTGACGAGTGATGCAAGGTACAAAATGCCTGCAGATGAGGTGACAGTGGAGAACCTAAGAAGCTTTTGCCAGAGCTATCTAGCTGGAAAAGCAAAGGTAGGCATCTTCTTCAACATATACCAGCTTAAAACTGTTGTATATTACAAACAAAGGTAGTGTCATTTATATGCCACATGTACTGTCCTTCTTCTTACAGCTGGTGTTTGGTAGAGTCTCTTATTACATGATTTGGAGGATGATGAGAACATCTCATTCCAGTTAACTTTGACTGGCATTTAGGGTATTTTGAATATAAGGGCACTAAACTTACTGTTTCTCAATTTTTCCAGAATTTTGTGCATGGGGGATAATATTTTCCTGCTCAAATAGGGTGGTATAAAGCTTAATGGATACTAATAAAGAACTCTGAGATTGTGGGGAGAGCTATTAAGTGCCCAGCCTGTCACCAAAGAGAGAGAGAGTTTGAGATCTAAGGAATAGATTCCTACCAGACTTAACATTTTATGGATCTGGTTTCTCTTCTCCATGCACAGCAGATTTTGAATGGTGCTCCAGAACTGACCCTAAAGAGTCTGCTGCTGCATGGTGCAGCAGGAAAAAAATAAGGGTCCAGCTCACATACAGTGGGGTGCAGAAGCCACGTGGAGGGGAAGGAGAGTTAAGCAATAACATGCACCCTCTGTAGCACTCTAGTTATTATCTGTCATGCAACCAGATTCCAGGACGCAACTTCCAAATAACCTGTGCTTGGCTGCACATGGCATGAAGCAAGTGATTCCCAGTATTATAAGAAGGTACACAACATGTGGACGCGTGTCAACTAGACTCTTATTAACCTGAATGGAAATATAGCTGCTTCACATATGTGCTTTTGTTTCTGATCAGCAACATGTGTCTAGTGAGGAGATTCCAGAAGACTGGGACAAGAATCCTGTCAAGGTGCTCGTAGGGAAGAATTTCAATCAGGTTGCCTTTAATAAGACAAAGAATGTGTTTGTGATGTTCTGTGAGTATCACTCTATGTTGTTCAGAGATCAAACTGTTTTAACACGATTGATTTAATGTGAAAGTGACAGCTTGTTGTTGTGCATCAAACCACATGCTGTACATTAAGGGTGCATCTACACGAGATGCTTCTCCACTGTAGCAACACGCTATGGCAACATAGATCATTGCTATGGTGACATAGCGTCAGCGGGCATGAACTGTGATGCCAATGCTACTGCACAGGCTACGGCACAGTAGGGTCAGAAACAACCTGAGCGCCGCTGGGACCGCACAGTAACCCAATAGTCTGGGTGCAGGCGTCTTGGACAGCAGACTTGAGTTGCTCCCAGTGTGCCTGGATGGAGATGTCATCAGCAGTAGGGACTTGCTCCAGTGCACTATACAACTGGGCCTGGAACTCCTCCCACTGTCCAGGGTCCTTCAGAGCTGCGATGTTCAGCCATCTCCAGCCAGCCTTCTGGGTCTTCCGGTGTCTTGGTGATCCGGTGTTCATCACCAAGTGCGCAAGTCAGTGGTCCATCCAGCAGTCTTCAGCTTCCTTCATGGCCCTTGTGACGAGCACATCCCTCAGGTCTCTACCTCAGGCAATGATGTAGTCCAAGAGGTGCCAGTGCTCCGACCTCAGATGCCTCCACATGGTCTTAAGCTGGTCTTTCTGGTGGAAGATAGTGTTCATCATGATCAGGCCATGTTGGGTGCATTTGGTCAGGAGCAAGATACTGTTGGCATTGGCCTTCCTCACGCCATTCTTGCTGATAGTTCCACTCCAGATTTTGTGGTCACGTCCAGCCCGGGCGTTGAAGTCACCCAGGAGAATGACTTTGAAACCCAGTGAGCTGTGTTTCACTGAGAGTAGTGATGTCGATATTATGCCTTCCAAACTCCTGAGCTACAATGGCAGTTTGTCTTTCCAGGCGATTGCTCTTTGGGCTGTTGATGAGCGTTCTCACATTCCAGGTTCCAAAGTTTAGCTTTTTCTTATTTTGACCACAGGAATGGTGATCCTGCTGGGTGTGGTTTCCCACCCAGGAGAGATAGGACATCCTATTTTGGGGGCACCTTTTCTAGCCCCCTCTCCATTGGGGTGAACAGAGGGTATCCTAAAAAGGGCTGCTGAGTCGTGGATACAGCTGCCAAAGGACACGCCATAGACACAGGTACCTGACGACCATCGCACATCCGCCACCTGTGTACAGATTCTTGGCTGGGGGCCTCCAGGTATCACAGCCCTGCTCCTACTGCCAATCTTCCATTGCCACAGGGCTTTTGGACCTGACAGAAGCCAGCGCATGGCATATTTAGCGTGGGGACTTTGGTATGCAGACAGGTCCACATGGCCTTGGCAGTTGGTGGCTGGATTCAGTGACATGGCGAACCACAACAACTGGGGCCACTTCTCCATTGCAGCCTTCTTCCACCTTCACAGCCATTGGAGCCACAGCCTTCCTCTACCTGCGCTGCTGTTGAGGACTTCTTGGATCGTTCTTTGTCTGGAACCTCCCCCTCGACCTTACCGCCATGGGTGGCCCTACCAGGAGCATGAGCTGCAGACAGCATCGCTCTCGGGGTCATTGGAACACGCAAGCATCTCCACCACAACAAGGTGACAATCCTTGGAGAGGATTGGCCGCATCTACATGAGCAGCAGATTGAGGAACTGTTACTGTGCAGTGTGAAGTCATTTAGTACTTGCGTAACCAAGTACTGAATGACTGTGCAGTAACCAGCATTACTGTGCAGTAACGTCCTTGCACCATTTTTTGATGGTACTGCACAGTAGTTCATTGCTACTGTGCCGTAGTGTCATGTCGCAGTTAGTGCCCCCCAACACTACTGTGCAGTAGCAATCAGCTACTGAGCAGTAGCTCATTGCTACTGTGCAGGATCATCTCATGTAGATGTGACTAAGCGACAATGTGTCAGAAGTCATACTGGATTGCTAGGGTTTTCCGACTTGCTCTGCTTCCAGGTATACATTTTGTGGCACATTCCCTGAAACAGGAACGTCTATTTTGACTTTTAATTGGATATATGAAAGACATCCTTCCACACAGCCTTCCCTGATTTACATAATCTAAGTCAGAAAGCAAGACAAATACATGGAGCATTGTGTATTCTATTGCCTCTCTTTCCTTGTGTATGCTGCTTTGCAGCTTCCAGAGATACGTTTTGTAAGTAGTATTTCATTACTGAACTGATAAAAGACTTGCCTTTGACAATCTCAGTAATCCATGTCATCCTCTCTAGCAAAGTCACAGGATGGCTTGTTAGGCCCCTGTGTATTTGTTTTTATTATGAATGGGTTGATTCAGCAGTATTATGATCAGCAGTTTTAAGTACATTAAAACCCATCCAAAAATGTTTGGCCATCACTGCTGAACTATTTGTTTAGAAAAGGAAACTAGGGCAGGGTAAATGGTTGCAAATAAAATAGAGATGAACAAAACCAGAATCTGAGAACCCAGCTGCTAACTTACTTGCCTTTATACTCAGCACCTTGGAGCTAAACTTATAACAGTTTTGAATTCAAGGTTGCAAGGGGCTCATTTTCAGGTTTCAATTTTGATACAGTGGAAGTCAACTGCAGCTGGAGGAAATTTTACATGATCCACTGATTTTGCAAGGGTTTTGCCATAGAGCCTTAGACAAATTCAGTTAATGTCCCTCTTTTGTTTCTGATCAGCAACTTTTTTTGCTGCTTATTCACTTTCTGGTTGTACCCAAGATCAGAAATGGAAATGCCAAAATGATAGATTTTGCCAGACTAATAACAGGGAGCTCATAGCAAAGCCATTTCTCAGTGTATTAATCAGTCTGGTTCTGCAGATCAGGGAGATTTGAAAAGTTCACATAAGGTTTGACACTGAGTGCACTGAGATTCCTGTACATCTTTAAATGCTAAGTAGAGGTGCCCTACCTACAAATTTGGATCTAGAAGTTGAACCCACCTTCTTCCCCAATATGGGGGAGGGGTGGGGGGATGTTTAGATCAGGGTGAAATCCTAGACCCACTGAAGCCAAAGAACTCCCAATGAAATAACCCTGAAGTTTGCATTTGGCTCTTTACAGAAACAAATGCCAGTCACACAGTATGACCCAGACTTGGGTTTTAATTGCAAACTTCCTCCTTCTGAAATGGTGGGATGGTAAAGCATTGCAGCAGAAGTAGGACATGGATGTGTCTGGGTGTAAGAAAGCTGCAAGGCTACTTCAACCCTGAGGGAGAAAGTTGCTGTGGTCCTCTTGCTTTTCGCTCTGTCAAACTCTAATGCACTTCACCGTGCTTTCAGATTTGCCCCGTTGTTTCTGGTTGGGGAGGGTAAACCTTGCACCTGTAGCTTTCTGCATTTCTGTGACTGTTACAGAGTAAGTTATGATACCAGATTTATGAACATCTGTTTTTCTTTTACAGATGCACCCTGGTCCCGTGAGTGCAGGAAACTCCTCCCAATCTGGGATGAGCTGGCTGAGGAGTATGAAAATCGCAAAGACATAATCATTGCCAAAGTAGACTTCACAGCAAATGACATCCAGTTAATTATGCTAGATCGCTATCCATTCTTTAGACTCTTTCCTGCTGGATCGGATAGCCAGGTGAGAAACCTTCAGTGAGAGGGTCTCCAAATAAGTGAGAGAAGAGCTCTGGTGAAGCAAGAAGACAGGCCATGGAACGGAGTGGGCCACCTGGGCCATGGCCCGATCAATTTTTAGCATGTTAATTTATATAACCCATAAATGCGTTCTGGTTAAAACTGTATAGCTATTTTTTAAATTGCATAGCTAGCTAAATTAACTTGCTAAAAGTTGGTTGGGCCATAGCCTGGGTGGCCCACCTCATTCCACGACCTATGTGAGAAGAAAATTGTGGTCCTTGCCCGTCCATATTTCAAACTGAGCATCCCTGACTTACTGCTGCTAGGAATCTGAGTTTAAGGGGAAAGATATTTTCTTACCACGCTCACCACACAAAAATCAGGTACTCATACAGGCATAGAAACTTCCCAGGTCTGGATTGATGAACTTGCTATGGGTTGAGTTTTGGGTGACCCGATTCTACACCTGAGCTGCCCTGTGTTCCAGTTGTTCTGATTTTTAGAGGAAATTGCAGATCCCCTAAATTCAAAGTGAACCTACAGATATGATTTGGTACTAATCTCTGAGACTAGATTGTGCAGAGTGTGTGATGGAAAATAACTCCAAGCTTATTCACCCCACTGCATCATTCATCCTGTTACTGGAGCAGTTTGAGTTATGAAGAGATAAGTCTTACCACCTGAAGGGCCATATTCTCTGGTCTTTTAGAAAACTCTTTTCTAGGCAGGTGTACCAGATTTTTTGCATTCCTGTACCACAAACTATGCCAGCAGTGTGTTCAAATGCCTCTCAATACACACTCCAAAGCTGTTGCTATTGCTGATTACTTTTAGAATATGCTACATAATAGATCAGCATGTTACATAAGGTTCTTAAACTACTCCTACAAGAAGAGACATAAGGGAAAAATATTAAAGAAATAATCTTACTGCTCTATCCATGAAGATAATCTAATTGAAGAGAAAAACATCGTTGTTGCAGCCAAAAAATTCAATTCTATGACACTGTTATAATTAAGACATTACTCAGCTTTTCATTTTTTTTCTCCTGATGCCCCATATTTAAATTAAATTCTAAGACATTTGTACATGTCCTCATTTAATCTCTTTGAGAATGGTTTTGCCAGCACAGCTTCTAATGAATTGAACTGGAGCCCTGCTTGTTCGTACAGTGTTCAGCCTTAATGTATATGTGCTACATCCCATTAGCCATGCTCTATGCTGCATGCATTTTTAAGATGTATTGGTTTATTAATCACACATTTTACTTTCTGAAAAATGATCAAAAAGTTGGTACCCAAGGCTGTTGCAAATAGGGATGATAACTGGGCTAGTTCCTATGGCCCCAGTCACTGGTTAAGGTTCCAGTGTCTCAGACACTGCACATACGCACAGACAAATGCAGGACTTGTCCCAAAGAGTTGTCTTATCTCTGCCATCTCATTTTTGCCTTAAAATGGCATTATGGTGCCCAGTTCTTAAGCTGATAGCAATAGCATAACTATGGGGTAGGGAGAGGGGCGCCAGCCCTGAGGGCCAACTGAGAGGGGGAGACAGAATGGAAGTCTTTGCCAAGCAGGAACAGCCCTGCACCAGGCAGCATACTGGGGAGAGAGGGGAAGGGGCAAATGCGGCACCAGGGGTGGTTCACAGAGAGCCTGCACCACAGGGCTGCTGCAACCAGTGTGTGGTGAGCCAGTCCACCTGCTACAGCACCCTGAGCCACCTGTGCTGCCAGAGCAGCAGTCACAGTAACGACAACTACTGCCAGAGTGCAGAGAGCTGGGACCATGGCAGGTGACACTCTGCAACCCTACCCTCACCCCGAACTCCTTCTTCCCAGATCATTAATGGTCTCCATAGCATCCCCGCCCCGCTCTGCCCCTTTTCTCAGGGCACCAAAGGAGCTTGCTCGGTGCCTGACTGATAGAGGATAGACGGACAGAGAGGAGAGAGAGGAACAGGGACTATATAGCACAGTGACCATAGTGACAAATACTTGTTCCTTCCATCTAATATTTCAGTGTTTTTTATCTCTCTCTCGTTATGGGTGGCAACTACATACGGTGACAAAAGCACGAGTGAAAAGTGCTCGTCCCACTCTATTCAAGCCCACCCTCACCTGTGCACCTTCTTCCACACAGTGCTTTCTATTTGGGTTGGTCTCTCTCTTTCATGCTCCAGGTGACCTCCTTCCTAACTCTGCTAATAGCCTTTTTCCTCCCTCCAAGCCTGTCAATGTGATCCCCATACCATTTTAATTTGCCAGCTAATACACCTGTCTGCACCCAACACTCTGTTTCAGCTGTTGCTTCCTTTTCTCTTGACACTAAGGACCTTGGGCTGCAGCCATGTGCCTGGAGTGTTTGTACAGCACCAAGATGGTTGTCAACACCACTCAATAAAAGTGACAGCACTTAACGGTGCTTGATGCAATCTGACTTCCAACATGTGGATGGATATCCAGTTGACCTCTGGTATTTTGTTGGGGTCAGAGTGTTCCTCAGTCTGTATCAATATCTACTTAGGATTGTTTATTGTTAGAGAATAAAAGATATGAAGAATGGTCCTCTGGGTAAAGAGTAGCTTTCTGGCTGTTACTTTAAATTCAAAGTATGAAAGAAAACATGGTGAAATCCTTCCGACCAGAAAATTCCTTCTAATCGTACCCAAAGCAGCTGCCCCGCTTCTGTTATGTTCTGGGACTGGTGTAGAGACTCGTGACTGTCAGGCCCTGGTCTCTCTCATGCTGCCTTGAAAGGCCTGTTGTGAAGCTATGAGTTAAACCTTACCTATTCAATTGGATGGATTGTGCCATGTTTTGGAATATGGGCCTGTGTAGTTCTCTTGAACTCACGTTTTCCATACAGCACTTTGACTTCAGGCAGGGCAGATTTTCCCCTTACGTAAAGCAGCATAATTCCATTTATTTCAGTAGTAGCAGGCCAATTCATATAGGCTGAGGGTCTCAAGAATTTTAAAATATGCTCAGATAACAATGGACACTTGTGTGGGTTAAGCAAATGAGTTTCTACTACATTCTGGATACAGGATACATTTAAAATCCTCTTTAGACTTCCAGAGGGCACAGGTTTTGGAAAGGCCTAAAAAATGGTGAGATAGCCCCTGATGTTGGGAGAACTCTAAATCTCTGTAGTTGGCAGGACCCAGGTCTAGTGATGCAAGAGAAGGGACATTATTTGTTTGAAGGTAAGGACTTCCTTCTTTGAGGTATTTGTTATTTTCCCTTCTCACGCCTCAAGAGATCCAATTAGCTTTAGTATTAGTTGGCTCTCCTCTGACTTTCTAATCTGAACACAAAAGTCAAAGTCTATTGAACCTGCATAATTCAGGAATCCCTGTATCTGCTGTATTCTGATTTCACATGTTTTTTATGCACAAAATTAGTAATATTTTACCCTATTTTTAACTTGTTCTTTTCAGGTTGTGGTGTATGATGGGGAACATACTCTTGAGGCATTTGCAGAATTCTTAGAGGAGCGAAGCAAGCCAAAAGCAGAAGCAACAGGAAAGGTAAAGGATTCAATGCTATGCGCTCTGAGAATGTCTCCAGTGCAATTCAAGGTGGCATTGCTCCTAAACTCCTCAGTGACTGGAAGCAATTTAGCTGTAGCAGGGTGGGATGCAGACACTAAGTATCTATCCAGGGCTCTAAGAAGGCTTGTACTGCCCATACTGAAGCCCAGGCTGCCATGACAAGACTAGTACCAGTACCCAAGTTAGCTAGTTTAGAGAGACCTGCAATATGAGTGTAAAGAGAGCTTCCATATGAGCTGGATTCACACAACTGCACAGCAGTGTAGACATACGCTCTTTCATCCCTAGATTCACATCATGTCAAAGGTTCTTTTGCTTGTGCTCAAGTTAGTCTCTTAAGCAAGAAGTTAATGTATCAGGGTGAGACTTATGATAAAACATACTACATATTTGGAAGATGTCTAGATCAGCGCACACTGTTTATTTATAAGTATTTCATTACAAGAAGGATGCATAAGACTCATGAGACACACGTAGAAATCTCAGAGTCGGTAGAGCCTCCACACTTAACTTCTGCAGAGAAAAGCTGTCCATACATTTATTGGAGATGCCACTTGTTTTGCAGTAGAATCAAAGGCCTCTTTGGCCAAATTAGCTACTGAAGTTGCTCAAAGAGTAGGGAAGCAATGAGATGGTGGTTGGAGAAATGTCAGTGGATATATCCACCACTCAACTTAATATCTCAGAGTTTGAAGACAGGTGGATAACCGGTCAACTAATTTGGGAGAGCTGAACCTGACTTGTGGAACGATCAAGTTAGCCTTTTTTTCTTGCTGAGCCTATGTGGGCAACTGCTCTGAGGACTGGCTCCTGTGAATGTTTTCTCATGATGCATTTGAAGTAGGTGGACAGGTCACATTCTTCTGTGCTTGCTCTAATACAGTTAAACGTATTCTGTCTTTTGGTGCCTTATTTTAGTTTCAAGTATAAGGATGTTGCATCATCCAAGAGCCAGTTTGGGAAATACCATCCAAAAAGCATGCTTTGCTTTGCTAGTGGGAAAATGATCAACATTAGCCCATCTGTTCATATTTTCTCTTTTCATTGAACACCATCCAAATTTGCTCAACACAGAACTGTAGGATGGAGTAGGCCTCCTGCAGTGAGTCACTACTTGATGTGCAAATCCTGTCAAAGGAATTCTCTGTGTCCTGTCACTGGATGTTGTCACAAATAACAAAAGCAATTTCTTTTGAGATACCTTTGGGAAAGCCTGCACATTTTCTCCACAGAATTTCTAGATCTCCTTGTGTATTACACTACATAGTAAAAGTGACCGATTCTCCAAGCGCTTATCAGAATTTCACAAAAACAGTATCTTATCTAAGCTCTTCCCTGGAGCCAGTGTATGGATGAAAGTTCTTCCTGCTAATTTAGTAACAACTAGGACTGTGTGAAATTTTGATGGCCGTTTCGTTTTGACACTATTTCGACTCGTTTCAATGTCAAAACAGCAAAATCAAAATGAAACAAAGGCTGTCGAAATAGCCTTGAAACAAAACAAGGCTAGTCAAAACGTTTTGAAAGTTGAAATGTTTCGACCATAGCACTGGGGATGGGAAGTCAGTCCAGCTGGGCTGACTTCCCATCCCCAGCGCAAGATCCAGCAGGGGGTGGGAAGGCAGCCCAGCTGGGCTGTCTGCCTTCCCCATGCTGGATCTTGAGCTGGTGATGGGAAGTCATCCCAGCTGGGCTGCTTCCCTTCCCCCCCATGTGATCTAGTGTGAGGGATAGTGAAGCAGCCCAGCTGGGCTGCTTTCCCGCCCCTCCCCCCAAATGATCTAGTGCAGGGAATGGAGAAGCAGCCCAGCTGGGCTGTCTTCCTTCCCCCCACACATGATCTAGTGCAGGGGATGGAGAGGCAGCCCAGCTGGCCTGCCTCTCCATCCCCTGCCAGATCTTGTGCTGGGGATGGGAAGTCAGCCCAGCTGGACTGCTTTCCTGCCCCCCACATCGATGTGGTTCCCATCCCCCCAAGATGGGGTTGGGAACTCAGCCCCAGCCCCATGGCGAAACAGTCGAAACAGGGTCAAAACAGCCTCACTTTTTGACAAAGTGAAACAGTGAGGCTGTTTCAACTCGAAATTATATTTGATACAAAACACTGTTCCGTCCAGACCTTGAAACTGAAGTCAGAAAGGAACAGTGCCATTTCGCTGTGGTTCCCATCCCCCCAAGATGGGGTTGGGAACTCAGCCCCAGCCCCATGGCGAAACAGTCGAAACAGGGTCAAAACAGCCTCACTTTTTGACAAAGTGAAACAGTGAGGCTGTTTCAACTCGAAATTATATTTGATACAAAACACTGTTCCGTCCAGACCTTGAAACTGAAGTCAGAAAGGAACAGTGCCATTTCGCACAGCCCTAGTAACACCAGCATTACCTCATTCACCTACAGAAGAGCTTTGCTAAAAAACTACAGTTCCCACAATATAGTTAAAAATAAATGCTATTTTGGAAAGCAAATTCTCACTGGGACAATTTCCTTTTTGTGAGTGGCTCTAATGAGAGACTTTATTGTCATATTTTTTAAAGGATCCTTCTCAAGAAATCAAAGAAGATCTTACCAAGGAAGAACTCTAACCGTGCAGTGAAGGGGAAGTTTCCATGTCATTAAATTCTAAGGATGAGTATTCTCTACACAAGAAGAATTTTGATTGTGACATAAGAGTAGAGCTGCATCAAAAATGAAAGAACAAGAACAAATAAAAAATACAATATCCCCTTTTGTTGTGCATGATTTCTCTTTTGAATTGTGACTTTACTAGTGACTTTCTATAAGTTGGTGTCAAGTCCTCTTAAAGTGATATTCCACCATGCCTTGGTAATGTCTCTGTTAGTGGCATCACCATCTTCTTCGTTTAGTGTGGCACAACAAAGAGAAGTTAGGCCCCACAGAAAAATCCTGTAGGATGCTCATTCAACTAGTTGTGTATTGAGTTAAACCAGTCCAACTCTAATCCATCCAAGAGAGGTGAATTTTGCCCAAAAGAAATGTAACCAATATTCAAACAAGTCTTTGATTATCATCATAAAAATAAGCATGGGCACCTAAGAACTGAATACATAGTGGGAACATATACATATGCGTAAACCCACCCTGGGCAGGAATCTACATGTACGGGGATTTGGGAGCAGATATGCTGCTCCTGGCATCAGTCTATTCCTGCCCACTCTGGCCCCCTGCAGCATCCAGGGGGAGTTGGAGGCTCTGGCCACAGCTGCCTGCTCAGTCTCCACCCTGGCACCTCCTCCCCCAATGTGGTAAAGATGCCTGCCCAGGCTCACTGCAGTGTCTCAGGCCACCTGCCACTGTGCTGCTGCTGGATGGACCCCGGCAGCGACACTGATGATGCACACCTGGACACCACCACCAGTGCTGTCTGTGCAATCCTGGGCCTCCAGCCCCACTGCCTGTGTGCCTGCCCAGCCAGCCAGGATGGGTGGCTTCATGGAGGCCACCTGGACAGCTGGCCCTGGACTCCAGCCCCACAATGCACCCTCAGCATCATGCTCACTGCAGACAGTTCTCAGAAAAGCACTTTACTCCCCTCCACAAACACAGACCTCTCCCTCCCTCCCCAACAACAGAATGCCTTCTCCTCTCCTCCCCTCTCCTGCCTACAGAACCCCTCCAACATCCCCCCTACCCACCACCACCAATAAAACACCCTCTTCCTTGTTACAGACCCTGTTCAGTGCATGCTGTGTGTGCTGTCTCAGGGTGAGGGGCAATGGGGTGGTGGTGCCAAGGGGGCAGAGCCTGGGGACAGGTGGCCAGCACCCTGGCCTCTGGCCATACCCCCACAGGTGCAGATGTTGTGGCGAGGCCGGTGGGCAGGGGGCTCACCCAGTGAGCAGCCCAGTGGCTGCTGCTCTGCCAGCATGGGCAGCTCTCCCTCCTGCAGCCAGTGAGCTGGACCCGCAGGGCCCATGTGAGTCCTGACCCCACTGCAGGCAGGTCATGCTCTGGGGCTGCATGGAACTGGGGTGAGAAGTAGGGCTGGGCCCAGGCAAGGGGGCTGGAGGGCAGGAGCCAAGGCAGGGGTGTCTGGCTGGTGGAGGTACTGCTGCACCTCAGCACAGGCCCAAGGTGGGGGGGGGGTATGCTGCTGGGCAGCAGGTGGTTGCCTGGGTCCAGGCAGGATTAAGGCCAGAGGCAGAGCAGTTGGCAGCATGAAGGCAACTACCAGGGTCAGGACGTTGCCCAGAACACAGTGGTCCTCCTTTGTGGCCTCCACTGCCCTGGCCACCAGGGCAGCCGGCCACTTGTGGGTCTCTAGGTGCCTTTCCTCCAGGGCCAGGAGTCTATTCCTGAGCTCCTGGTCTGCCCAGTCCCTTGCCACCTTGTGTGCATCTGTGGAGGGCCAGTAGGGGGTGTTCCTGCTCTGAGCCACCCACCTCACTGCACCCATCTACCTTCCAGACTCTGGCTGCCTCCCTAGGGGTGCTTCATGTCTGTCCACCCCCTTCCTGGAGAACACCTACAAGCCTGGGGGTAATGCAGCTACCACCCAGGGTCTGGACTGATTTTGGCTCTATACCCCCTGGGAAACACAGGCCTAGTAGTCCTGGAGGAGTACTCGACCTACTGCAAGAACTTGGGGTGCTTCCCTTAGTCTGAAGCACAAATAGTGGTCTCCCTTAGTCAGCTGAACCAAGGGGACCCCAAGGCATAATCTAGACCCTCTCTCAATAAGTCTCCCACGCTAGGTATAGAGGAGAACTTTACTGGTTACAAGAAGTAGGTTTGGAACAGGGTACAAGGTAGATCAATATCAGAGAAATGCCTTAGAGCAAACAGTGGTGTGGTAGCATTTGATCACACATCTGAGTTACTGCAAGCTATATATCTAGTTAGATCTCAAGTAGCTTGTTCACAAATATCATCCAGAGGCAGGTGGAGATTCCCTCTGGAGGCAAGCAGTTCATTGACCATGAGTTTCAAGAGAGAGAGTGAGTTTCAGATGGTCCAGCTTCTTTGAGAGTCCTCATCATGGCTGCTGCCCCACCTCCTGGGCAGTCTTTAATTTATATAGACTTTATGACCTCATTTACCTGATCCAATGAAGGCCAGCAGTTGTTGGCTGCCAGCCAATTTGAAAGGCATCACTGGTTTCCAGGTAGACTGGCAGGGTCTCTATCCCCCCTACCATTCCTGATGTCATTGTTTAGAACAATAGGGAGCTTAGGCCCCACCCAGGTGTGTGGGCCCAGTCACGTAAGCAAAGGGAGCAAGTTCTCCTCTCCCTCTGGAACATATCAAGTTCAGGTTACAATTCAGGGTTACCTGAAGAGATGAGGCAGGGGTTTCTGCCCTCTGCAGTGACCATGGTAACCAAACTATCAGATAAATCGTAAGCCTGATAGCAGATTTTGGGGAGAAACTGAGATGGCATTCTGCCACAGCACCCCTTGCCACCTTGTGTTTGTCCTTCTCGCATGCACAGGAGGTTTCGTTTGTGCACCAGGCCTGTGAGTCCAGCAGCTTCTCCTCAGCCACCATGACCAGCTTGTCCAGCAGCCAGGTCCAGTTCTGGGCCCTGTGCTGCCAGAGCTGGCACATACGCAGGGCCCTGACCAAGACTGACAGTGACCCTGAAGGTGCATCTTGGCTGCCAACTGGTGCCTCTCCCCCATGTGCAGCTGTAGGCTGTACATAGCCATGAGAAAGAGGCTGTTTGTGAGAGTTTGCAGCATTTCTGAGATAAAATGCTTAGTACCAGGGGGCTGTGTGCTGCCTGGCTTTAGATTGGGGAATTATGCATGCATGGGTGCCCAGGGACCATGGTAAGTCAGCCAGGAAGACCCTGGCACAGGTGGCTGCCAGCCAAGCTCGGCATCTCTACCTGCTCTACAGGGGCA